TTCTCTCCCCTGGCTCAGGAAAACCTTTATAAAGCCGAAAAGGCGAGAATGGTGATAAATAAAATAAATATTTCATCTCACGGCCATTCTTAAGAATTAGGTAGATTCATTTTAATTGAAACTCATTAGAATAGACACTCGAGCATATTAGCATCCAAAGTTCTTCTTTTAAACCAAATCATTGGAGTTGGTTTTTGAAATAAAGGCGCCAGAAAAATGATGCGTGCATACGTAAGCTAATGTATTTTTTGAGAGTGAAATATGGAATTCGATGAAACAGATATGGGACCTATATCTGGATACTAATTCGCAAAACTGCTATAAAATTAGTGACAATTGGATAAACAGTAGACATGGGACCAAATCTGTCCATTGACACCTAAATCTTAAAATGTGAGTGGAAACTGGATTCGGAGGACATACAATTATTAAACCTTCCAGCAACTATGGTGTTAACGTATTCCCATATTTATGGTGCAGCACATTGATGAAGTTTGTTATCTCATAATAGTGGCAGAACAGCAAGTTAGCAGAACATACTAAGAATATCATAAGCATGGACTATTTAAGAAGAAAAGCATTTAACCGACATTTACGTAATGATATACTTTTAGATTAATGATATAGTTTTGTGGAAGAAATTCATACAAATAAAGAAATATGGAATAAAAAATAAAAACACCATACAATTATGCAACAAAATAACTCTACATAATTCGTTTAGAAAAGGGATAAAAGCGAAATATTATAATAACTAAGAACCCAATTAGTTTACAGTGATAATGAAATCAACTGTTCTTGGGTAATACTAACATAGAATAAAAAAACAATAATTATGAACTATATGACCAGTATTTAATAGAAAACACGGAAATATGACCATTGCTTATTACTTATGTAAATAGCCTTTGGTAACCTATAATCTGCCTTAATTATTTTTAATTTGCTTGGCTACAACTAACCAGCTTGAATTATTTTTCATTTCTTGTTGATATTATTATTAACTAATTGAGAATCGAGAACACATCTACATGTGTAAATTATAATTCTAATTTAAGCAATTAGTAATTTTAATAATAGTTAATTATAAACAGGAGATTTTTTTAAACTTCATTTCTTCACCCACACCTGTCATGAGAATGACGATCAGCGAGGTTGATGTCAGAAATAATGCCTGTAGTGGCCTTGAACGGCGTGATGGAAAGGAGTGCCCAACGGGATCCTTCCTATCTTGATTTTATTATATTTTTTAAGCGAGGAAATCTCTCATCCCGGAAAATCCTCAATGTCCCTTACTTGGTCACAACTAAATTCATTCATGATTTTGATATTTTTTTTCTTTGGCCCAATAAAGATACCTGTTATACCTTAATAGACTTTATAACTATCCGAACCCTCTGATTTCTAGCCTCCTATTAGATCACTGGATAGCACTCCGAGGCGTCTGAAAAGAAGATGGCTACATTATCTAATGTAGATACTTTATTACAGTGCTACGAATGAGTAGTTTCTCTATAATTATTTTCATCCCACGTTTCTCTCATCGCATTCACAAAATGTATTTTTATATTATACAGTTGTAAATTACATCAATAAAAAAAAAAAAAGTCCACCAAGTAAAGTCAGTATAGCTTCCTCACCGTTTTCATTCTCAAGGAAATCGAGACCAAGATGAACCGGTTGAAATTCAATGGAAATAAACACAATCACAAATACGACTTTTTTTTAACAATCTCAGAGTAAAAAATATTTTAAATATTACACGAACATTACACGAAATTTAAGTAACGGCAGCAAGTGTCATGCCAGTAACGTTTGGAATCGACCAAACAATACAATATCAATTAATTTTTTAATCAAACCTAAAATTTTATAACCCAATAACAATATTGTAATAACCTAACTCCCACTCCACATGATTAGTGCCTTCAACATTTCACAGCCACTATATTGTTGACAATTATTTATATTAATTTTAATTATTAAATGGAATTCAATGAAATTGATACCAAGTTGTTTCTATACTGTTCTCCAAATTTACTCCAAGTTTGGGTCAAATCGAATGCGCCGTTTTCAAACTATAGGCAAATAAAATAACACATTTCCTGATCTGAAAGCGGATGTATTTTCTTCTGGGAATAGTAGATAGAATTTGATAAAATTGATGTATATTTCATTTTAGGTTTAACAATCCCTAAAATCTTTCCAAATTTGAGCCAAATCGAACATGCGGTTTTAGAGATATAGACCTATCTAGGAAAACACGTTTACGCATAGATAAGAGAAAGCAACGGACAGTATTCAATGAAATTGATCCTAAATTATTTTTTTAGAAAACCAACTTTTATCCAATTTTGAGCAAAATGGAACGAGCCATTTCTGAATTATAGGCATATCTATTAAAATCCGTTTGCGGATGCGTAAGTAAAAGTGCTGATTACAATTTAATAAAATTGATATGGGACCATCTAGACAACAACTCGCAAGACAATTCCTGAAAATTTCATGAAAATCTAATGAACGGTAGGAGGTGATATGCCAGTTACATCGATTTGACTATAGACAGACACCGAACCGAATTTGTTACTTGATGTCTGAAACGTAAAACGCGAGTGGAAATTTACGATCCTGAATAGTGTTACCCAAATGCGAGACCGAGACGAGTCTTGGTCTTGCGCAAAAGTCTAGCAGTTACTTATAAGCTTATTACTATAGAGATATTACTGTAATTTTTTACATAGGAGAAATCTAGCTAAGCTCGAATGAAAAATTAGAGGAGTTAAATGCAAAAGTATATTGGTTATACCAATTATTTACCCATAGTAACTAAGATTGCCAAGTATCAGTAACTATTTTGCCTTTATATTTATTAAAAAAATCGACTTTTTTTTTACCAGTCCTGGTCTTGGTCTTGAAAAGTGCAAGACCGATTTTGGGCAACACTAATTATGAGCACATATTTTTTTTTAACCTCTCGCACGAATACAATGCTTCCCTACCTTCGGTAGTGAGGAAGCACTATTGAAGCGAAAACTAATTTGAGAGTATCTATTTTATATTTCTTTCTTTTACTTTGTTCAGTTTATAATTTGTTTTTATTGAACTTCATTTCATTTAATTTTAAATACTTGATCATGTTTAAAATTGTTTTGTTTTTCTGTAAATTTTTAAATACGTTAAAAAAAAAGAAGAAGAAAAACTAACTAATTAGTAAAGAATAAGCATATTGAAAACGAATTATGTACAATGATATTGGAAAATATATATATTTTGGTACCTCACTAATGCTACAGCGTTTTCTTTCTTTTTTTTTTTTTTTTTATTCTTGGTCTTAATAAATTCGGACCGTCGGCGGCCTAAAGGATAATATTAAATATTTCTGAAATAGAAAAGGATTAAAATAGATGCGGCGGATAGAGAGGCGAGGGATTGTTATTGACTGCGGCGGGAGATTGGCTGAATTGTAACAATTTTCCACTGGTGTGTATATGTGCCGGCGGCGGCAATAACGAATGACTGATTGGGGGCGGGAATTTGAATTGAGGGGCGGGGAGGCGGTAATGGTCGGCGGGTGGTGATGAATATGCAGGTCCGCTGCCAATTGGCCGCTGCCCCCTAATGAAATCAACACTCTCTCCTCGCTCCTAATCAGTCCGTCTCTAGCCATTTTAATTAATACTATAACCTCTCCCTCTAACCCTCTCTCTCTCTCTCTCTCTCTCTCTCTCTCTCTCTCTCTCTCTCTCTTGGCCCCTAGCTAACATCCCCCGTTGGCAAAATCTAAATTTTCCAATGGGGAAAGGGACCAAAAAAAAAACATAAAAATGTCATCCAAAATTGGAGCATATTTTCGTTGTTGTTGTTTCGATGTCTAGGCGCAAAAACCTCCAGGTCATCAGCGCCCGATCAACTAAATAACACTATTTTTATAATGTTTGGATGGCTGGTACACAAAACAAAAATAAATAAATAAAATAATTGATAGAATAAAATAAATAAATAAAGGTAATACTAGACACTTATAGATAATAAGATAAAATAGATAAATAAATAAACTTAAAAAAACTAGCAGTAAAATCAAGAAATGAATTGAAATTAATAAACAAATGAACTTTAAAAAAAATAAAATAAAGAAAAAGTAAATAAAAAAAAATAATAATAATAATAAATCTGCAAACGATCAGTAGTTATAAGTTTGTCATATATGTTTTTTAAGTCTTTCACTATCCAGGAACTTGATAACTTTGGTAATGAATTTTTCTTGATTTCCCAGGGATGCTGATATTCTGGGATATTCCAAAATTTTTTAACCTTGCGGTGTAAAAAGGCCACTTTTCGAAAACATGTTTTATGATTAATGGCATTTTTTCGTTATGGATAAATAAAATGACAATACTTATAATAGTAATAACGATTTTTTCTATACCAATTTCTGTTGAAGTAATTCAATTTTTTTTTAAAAATTGCTCATGATTGGGAAGAAAGAGTATTAATGTGGGTCAAAACGACATAACATAATATTATTTATTCGCTCCATTTCGTTTTGTTAAAACGCCAGAAACATATTGCAGCAAACGATAATCATAATTAAATCCATTAAATCATTCATATAAGTATATCAGGGTTAAAAGATTGAAATATAAAATTAAAATGAGTATAAAATGCTGTTAAAGCTTAATTTATTGCAGACATTTTAAAATGATAATGAAATTAGTCTAATTTAAATTTTTCTTTGAACTCACATTTTATTTAGGAAATAATGTTTTCGAATAAAATTATAAATAACATTGCAAATTGTGTCAAGAAATTCAATAATACAAAACGGAATAATAAAATATTAATACAAATTCAATTCAGTAAATTCATATAAAAAATGACAGAAACGGTCAAAATTTGTGTGTGTATATATATATTTATAATTACAAAAAATAGAGTTCGGAAGATAATTATTATATTATAATTATCTAATGGGCTAAATCTGAAGAAAAAAAAATACTGACCTTGAATTTTACAAGCTTTGGGTTATCGCCAGCTAGTTTTGCAATTGCTTGGTAATCTCCTTGTGCACATCTTACAATCCATTCTCTTGATTTGGTGTCGAACTGAATATGTTAAATAAAATTTTAAATACAACCTCAAATAAGAGCTGGAAAATTCAAATTATGTAAGTACAATACAGTTTCAATACATACCAGTGTGACTCCATCTTCTTCATCTTTGTCAGCCTAAAATAATAGAGAAGAAATATTTTAGAATTCTATCGTGATATTAATAATATGTCCAATATTATATAAAATTATATCAGATGGGACCTGTCAAGAAAATATAATAAATGAATATCACATTTTTACGGTATATAAAGTTTATATAATACAAAATTATATAATACAAACTAATACAAAATTAACTCCAGGAATCTGAGTTTTATCAACATAAAAAATAAATTCAGTTGTAAAAAAAAGAAGATGAAAATCTAATATGTGTTGGTTCCAGAGCTTTGAGTGCAAATAGCTAATTACTTGGGTGCCCTATAATTATAAAAGACTAGTAATCTTAGCGCAATACATCATTTTGACTGTTATTCAATTAAAATACTTTTGAGAACTTTTAGTGATAAATATGATTTACGGGCTCCAATAATTTATACTTTTATTTAATTCATATTTCTTTTTTTAATGAATTCATGATTGACCACTTCACAAATATTTTCATAATTCTGTTTTCATGTAGAACGAAATTGCATTCTAAATTCTACACGAAGTATCACATAATAATAATGGGGGATCACACAATTAACAAATAAATTTTTAAAATTCTTTAAGACACATAATTTTTACTGAATAAATGTTTTAAATAAAACTTATCCTTTTTCCTACCATTGGATCTCAGAAGAGAAACATGTTGATCCTATTAACAGACAGAAATAAACTGCGTACTATCTGAAGAAACTAGATAACACAAATAATCGGTATGTGCTAATTATGTTTATTCGCTATTTGCCAATTTATAAATAATTCATACCGATTGCACAATTACTGCAGCTGTTTCAGGACATTCAACAGTAGAAGCTAAATCGGTGCATCAGACTTGAAACAAAACTAACACGTTTAGCAAATAGTTGTCAAGAATGTCAACCATAAAATGTTATGACAACGATGGTGACTGACCATTAGCTGAGGTCGGATATGGTTCCACGAGCGGACCAAGCTACAGCTGGCGACAGCTCCAGCTTGTCATGAACATCCAAGCCCAGCGGTTCGGTCGGATCATTAGCAGACACCAAATAATGAACTAACCGCAGCCAGCCAACATATAAATATATTTACACATGGCAATGCTTCAATAGGCTTGATATGTGAGTAGTATATAATTTCTTTTTTTTTTTTATGAAAAAACATAGCAACACCTCAAACAGATAATTAATATGATAGAATATTTCAATGACAAGTATCAAAGAATAGGTATAGTATGTTGGATCAGAATATGTTGATCCCAGAAATACAACAGAACCTTATAGTGATCCTATACATTTCATGCTAAGTATTCCAAAACAACATCCAAGATTCAACATTCAATTTAATATTGAAATCTTAACTATCCTTATTTTCTGGTCCATGAGTAACCAACAACAATAATGGCTACAGGACCGATAGAATCGGAAAGTTTATATTTTAAAAAGAATCATTCCAAACTTCTAGATACCTGAGGCTGCCCGCAAGATACAAAAGGATATTGACTACAACAGATGGTCAGAACTGAATGAGTTAAAGCTGAATGCAAATAAAACTAAGGCTATTCTCATCGGATCCAGAAATCTCATTAGTTCCCTTCCTTACTTTCCTCTACTTTACTTCAATAACCGCCCCATCCATTTTTCTTAACAGTCAAAAACTTATAAGTAACATTTGAACAAAACCTCTTGGGGAAAAACGTATCTCCCAGACTACCCGAAAATCCATAACTGTCCTTAAACAAATCAAAAGATTCCGTGATTGTATTCCTCTAAAAACCAGTCACACTTCAGACTAAAAACACTTCGGCTACGGCTGCTTGATATATGGAGGGCTATCTGCTAGGCTACAAATGAGACTAAAGAAAATTATGATTTTTTTTTTTTTTTTTTTTTGTGTCCTCCCCTTCCTCGCCGTTAAGCTATACGGGGTTTTCCCGAGTCAGGGTGTGTGGGCGGGGATTGAAAAGAAACCTTGGCACCGGGACGCGAACTCGTGTCTATTTTTATAAATGTGTTTTGTTATTACTCGGCTGATCTGTTGTTTTAATTATCTTGTATATTACTTTATCTTTTTATTTCTATATATATATATATATATATATATATATATATATATATATATATATATATATACATTTTTTTTTCTTTTTCCTTTCTTATGTACATATTGTGTGAATGAATACTATAGCCCTAGTACCAATGCCCTTCAGTGTGGCAGACTGTATTAATACTCAATAAAAGTTTTATATATATAAATTTTTATAACATATTTGTCATATATCAGGTTGCCGGACAACGGTGGTGCTGTGCACAACGCGTTAGCCCATTCAGCCACCCGCCCACGAAAATCAGATACACCTTTGGGATCCCCAGACGTTTTCATATTTCATTCTGGTACACCAAGTTGAAGTGGCTTTATCCTACTTCCCGACGACAATACCTCCTTGGTGTTTTCCTTTTCCAAGTCCTTAGAACCAAAAACTCTCCCTAGATTCTGGTACCTCTTACTCTACGCTCCTCTATCCACTCACGCTCTATACACCAGGTCTCAACCTATAGATTTATATATCCCTTCCCATAAAACTAATTCCAGCAGCATATTATTCGTGCTACCTCCTTTAGGCACTCTCTACCTATCTACCTAATGCGTCAATCCTCGTCCATAAATTCCTTCAAACAACTCCTGTTCCACCAACTACTCCATATTCAATTTTCCGAAAATACGTAAAATTTACTTGCGTCTGTACACTGTTTAATTCAATAAACTGGAAAATTGCAAAAACAATCAACAGTTAATTAGTTTGTATTTTGTATATTCTTCCAAGCGACACTAAGACTCATAAATATGTAACTCTGCTATTATTCTTAGAAAACTGTAGTCCCAGAATTATTTTTATTTTTTCATTTATGCATTTCATTAGATGGAGGTCAGTTGTGAACCCTTAGAGTGGTATAAGGGGTGTCCAAAAAGGGGTTGCATAGCGCAAATATATAGAGGGAGCACATTTCCATGGGGGTTTTAATATTTTCAGGGTGCAAAATTTTGACAGGGTTATGAACCGGAAGGTATCACATTTTTATGGCATTCGGATTGCTCTAAGGAGCATTCAAATCACGGAACTAGGGGAAAACAAAAGTGTAAGATCTACGTTTTTTCTCATTTTACTTCTGCTTACTCAGTTTTTAAGAAAAGGAGAGCAATCAAATTTCTTGAAGGAGGTATTTCTAGTAGTGCCTCTCACTCTACTTGAACTTTCCGTAAAAAAGAAATACTTTTATGGAACTTAATGAAAAAGGACTCCTTTCAGCCAATTTGATTGCAGGGACGCTTCAATAAAACAATAAAATTTCAGTAAATCGAAACATACCTATTAGTTTTTCGTATATAGACTAAATTCCCGAAAATGTTCAGGAAAAAAAGTTATAAAGAAAAGAAAAATGTTATGGGGCCTAACTCGCTAAGTATATATTCTATGGTAAAATTTATTAAAAAAAAAAAAAAAAAAAAAAAAAAAAAAAAAAAAAAAAAAAAAAAAAAAAAAAAAAAAAAAAAAAAAAAATCGGAATCGAACTAGTATAAGCGATGATACAGCTTATTCTATTTTTTACACATTTTTTAACTTATTACTTTCCTACCTGTAGTAGGTAAGGAAAGTATTGCAATCGGATCAAATTTCCGACATGCAGTTTTCGACGGATCTATACAGCCCCCTGAGTAAAAAATACGCCGTTTAGCCTGTCGTTTGATAGGTAATGAAATTCCCTACAAAGGCAATTATAAAAATCGTTTATTTTGGACAATTATAAACGAAGTTACAGCTATTCAATTTCCAATATAAGAATACGGTTTCATATCCTGATGTCAGAAAGAGGTGAATGAGAGAATAAAGATGACTAAATGAAAGTAAGAAAATCTGTTGCCCGCATCACACAATCTTCACTATTTCCTCTACTTTTAAGAGAAATTATTGTTTGACAATACAAAGCTATGGCAAAAAGTTTTTGATCACCAATATCAGGAAGTATTGCAATTTTTACACTGATCTACCTTAAGCCGGTTTACATTGCTTTAGTTTATCAAATAAACCGTACTCAAATCTTATGTTTGATCAATTTTCAGGAAAATGTATCTAGTTCAATTCTTTTTTGTTTCTTTATGAACATATGTAAAGATATAAAAGCTTTTCTGAAATAGGTAGGAAAGTCGTGTGAGTGGACACACCAGATATTTTTACTTAAGGCAATTTTTAAGATGGGAAGAATCCGCCCTCGACAATCCGATTGACTGAAAAGAGTCCTTTTTTATTTAGTTCTATAAAATTATTCCTATTTGACGGAATTCAACCACAGAATAATACATTGCCTTATGGTTTTGTTAGTATTTGATATATACTATTTATCTTTGGTTTAGTAGTAAATTCAACTTTCTAACTATCATATTGGATCATAGGTTTTGGTATTCCTTAGTGACTACTTAAGGACACATCGGCAGGCTATACAAGCATCCAGGTAGACTAGCTAATGTGACGTACGTTACTATCGTCCCGGACAGACTGACGTTACAGGACATGAGTGAGGGTACCCGGACCGGACCCCTTGTTGCGCATCTTGCTGTGGTCATATTAATCTAGCTCTCCAAATGTCTGCCCTGAGTGAGACGTACCAGATTAGAAAAGCCTCCATTAGTCATATACTCGGCTCCTTTTTCAATCACAACTGTCCTATCTTCTCATAAATCAAACTGCCTCTATTTTACATTCAATTCTTCCTCCTCAATCTTCGACTAATATTTTTTTTTCTTCAGTGAGGATAAACCAACAAGGATGGACGCTATGCTAGCAATATAATGTAGTACCTAGCACAAGAAAATCAAATATCTCTTCTCGATAATTTTATGATACATATCTGTTTCAATGATTAGCTTATTATGCTGAACGAATGTAACTTACTATATATTAGCCAGTTAACCAAAATCTTTCCTTGACAGAAAAT